TCCGTCCTTCCATCCCCATGTCCATAAGAAAATATTTTGTTTATACAGTAATGAATAATACAATAATTAGAAAACAGAAAACATTTACCCCAGTATAGTGTGTCTAGTGTTAAATGCACGAAGTACAAATGTTGCCAACACGCGGGTAATGTTATTATTTTCAAAAGATGATATATACAAGCTTTGTTTTATGATTGAAAATGTGGTTCAAAATCAACAGTACTACTAAATCCGAACGTTGTCTCTTTTTGTATTTAAAACCATCTGTGCTAACCCGCAACGTCAGAGTAAATCTACCATTCAAAAATCTGTATTATTAAATAGAGGTTAATTATCATATTACCTTATTTGTGTTGTCACTGTTTTATCGTAATTTCATATAATAACATAATTCACGTGTATATGTGAATGTTTTAAATTTGAATTTTAATATCGTTTAAGTATCTTCATTATTCTTAATTGTCTCCATGGTAACACCAGATCATGTTCCATATACGCACGTGAAGCCTTTCAACGAAAGGCATAAAGGTTATACACTTACACTGTGAGACGTTTGGTCTCAGCGGGGTATGTTACACGTCAGTATACGAATTGAAAAAAAAAACTAGCGATGTTATTTATTATTCCCACCTGAATTTCTAGATCAGCGATTCGAATTAATAAATACACGAGTCGTTATATTACCAATGACCAGTGTGAATGTAAACATATGACAATTCGCCCTTATAACTCATTTTAATCCGTGTCTCGAATTATAATTATGAACGTACTTATAATAAAAGAGGCGATGATCTGCTTAGAAAAACATACATTTTTCACTAACATATGCATATGAAAAGACTGCTATTTTAAGGCGATGAAATCATTTTTCTATTTCTCTCCATAGGCATACTGGCCATAGTAACTGCGTAAGCCCAACCATTTTTTTTTTGTATCTTGATTCACATCTCCCCCAACAATTGAATGGACAGTCTGGATAATTGGGTATTTTTTTATTAATTTTTGGATATTGTATCTTGATAGAAACGTCATATAGGGTTTGTATTATTGTTTCCTGTCAAATTGAAACACATTGAAATCAACACAGTGTGACGTAAGAAGTGGTTGATATTCTCTCGATATTGCACGGCTTGTTTTAATTTAACCGTGCTGGAGACCAAGTGAATAAATTACGTTTTACGTTATACAACCAGATTATGTAAGCGCATTTCTAGAAATTCCAGTTCTCACTTGACAATGTTTGTGCATAAAAAATCTCATGAGGCGAGCCAAATATTTTTTTTTAAATACATTATTTCATATTACCTAATGATCAATAATCAGTTGACGAAAAAGTATAAAAAAATGAAATTGAATCGAATGCAATGTGTTGCTGACTGTATTGAATATAATAAACGCTAGTAAGAATTTATTCAAAATTTCCGTAATTTATTTCAATGTATATTTAAACGTGTATTTCAAGTGAACAAATGGACAATGCTTCTATATTTTAAAGACATATAAATTAGACCTATTGAGAGTTCTGAGTGCATATGCCAAAAACATAATTACATGTACAGTGGGGCGAGCGTAAGGTTTTAGTATATATTGTCGAGATTTGACGAAACAGATAGTGTTTTATCATAGAACGATGGGCGATCTATCTATTCTTAATGTTGTAGTCGATTTACATTTAATAGCAACACAGATTTTATCAGAGAGTAACCCGCTATACGACTATTACAAATACAAATAATATTTCGGTAATGACAAAACGTGTTTTTTACGAATACTAGCCATGCGCGGCGCAAGCAGGTGTTATTGAGGGGCATTTACACTGAATCGCGTCGATGTTTACGATCAGTAGTCGCACTGCTAGCAAATGACCGGCGTCCACCCAAAATGGCTACCATATCATAACATACTCTCCCAGAAAAAGTGCGTTAAATATGAACAATGTGTATTTAATTACTTTGGGGTGTGATGACAGACAAATAAACATGTACATACCTGATCCTGGTATGACGATGTTGAATATGAGGCATGTCGCAGCGAAACACATCGGAAACATTGGTAAACACATTTTCAGAGCTCGCTCTCCTTCACCGTTGTGTGAGTTGATCATGTCCGTCCCGTCTGTGTTTGTGGTCGTCGTCGATAGACCGCCTTGCCTCGGCGTTGTCAACTCTATTTCTTGTAAGTGACTGTTATAGTGTACGATCTCTGCCATAGTTGTTGTTTTGACGCGGTGTCCAGGCGTTGTCGTACTAATGGGCCTGTATATTCGGCCCTATATCGCCAGTAATACCCAGCCGACGGATATCAATTTAACAACGCCAAATATAACCAACCATTACTGTCGTGACTTTCTCCGTATGCCAGGCATCGAAACACACAGTGACGCCTTTTTCGGCTGTGGAGAATAGTAATATGGTAAATTCACTACACATATACACGCGTTTTCACCCTCGACAATGAGAAGAGTAGTCATCTATATATGCCTGTCCTCAAATAAAAGCAAATCCCAGTCTAGTATAGCTATTACCGTATGTGCCGGTGACGTAGCAGCCTGTCGCTACTTTCACCATTCTAATAATGAATGGATATTTGCATAACAAAGGGTTCAAGGGTTACTGATTGTAAACGGTAGACGATAGGGCCAAAAACACACAGAATGTTTATTGTTAGAGTAACCCTGATTCATTCTGGGCCATAAATTTCCAAGGTGTTGTTCTGTTTATGTTTTACAAGTTAGAGATAAACAACACACTTATATTAACGTTCATTGGCCCTCGTTTTGAAACAAACGTAACAACATTCTAGGGTCACCAGTTCAAACGAAAAGTTTAATGAGATTGATTGTAATTGCTACAACCACGGAGGTATATGTTAATGAACAATGACAAATGACATTCAACCCATGTATTTTGAATGTCAAATTGACTCAAAATTGTGTGTATTTTTTCTATAATTTTTGTTTAACATTGGACCAAATGAACGCATATTCTGATTGCATAAAGACAGTACGACATGTGTCATGTGCAAAGGGTTCCAAATCGACAGTATTTTTGTCCTTGTGTGTGTAGACCACGTGACCAGAGAGAATGTTGTTCAGTTTTTGCGCCCCGTCAAACAATGCATTATTTAGTAGTGTACAATAGTCTACGACTGGATTTGTGTTAACAAAGTGTTCATCCTTGGTTAGAGCCGATCATCCTTGATCCCAACCTCGATACCCACTTACCCACATTCTTATCAACATTGTCAATTTTGAGTGAATAGTAATTATTATGATGTACATTTGGCATGTGGAACCAGCGCAATATTTCACTACGCAGTAGTTGGTATTGATATCGTGAAAAGAACAATATATACAATCAGTTTAACCCATGCGCTGAATGAGGATATATTTTAACAATAGACCCACTGAAAACGACTACAGTAAGTGAATTCAACACCATCGTTTGAACCACAATCCCAGTGTGGACAAATTGTGTCCTCGATTTTGTGATTTTTCTTTAAACACATCAACCGAATTACTTGTTCTTGTCTAGTTAGTTGTGCATTTCAAGATTGTAATACCGGGTACAGTTCTATTTAAGGACATTTTGTTACGCCTTGTATGTATGGGGAGTATTAAGCCGTTTTTTTTATTCGCTTATTTTTCTGATAAAACGTGATTTAATTCCACAGGGAAATGGGTTCCAAATGATGCGATCGGACCATGATCACAACAGGTTACATTCAAGTATCTGGACAATGCATATTCTGTAATATCGAACACACATGTGTACCGCATTGTTCTCAATAATTGTAATTGCTAGTATATAAATATTTTCGTAAAATAGCGGTTTCAGAAAATGACAAGTTTAGAAGACGTTGATACACCGGTGTGAATTTACTTAATGGACATTTATAAATACTTATAAAACATTTAGCCAGAAAGATTCTCGCCCTTCATTCAAATACAAAGAAGTGCTTTCATCGGTAACGCCCATTACCCATGAATCTTTGCGGTTCTTCTAGTAACGTGATTAAATGCTACAATCGCAACAGGTAGATCCTATCAAATTTGTTTAGAAGCCTTGAAATTACAACGATTTGTTTGTTGAAATAAATTTAAAAGAATGCAAGTACTAGTAGCATAATTATTGCTTCGCACAGAACTTTGAATTGGGAAAGCGAGTTCGAGCAACTGTCGAAGGAGACGTGAAAGTTTTACTGACCACAGGTTGTTTTCAATCCCAATTTGAAATTTATAAATATTTTATATGAAAGCAAATGTCCGTGAAAGCTAGTGAAAACAAATGAATATAATGTCAGAATGTATCTTTCACATGTTTCCTTCATATTTTTATAAATATTTATAAATTTCATAAATATTGTGTCAATAATATCCCTGCGATATCATAATCTGCAATGTTTATCATTGTATTCAGAGTATCGTGGTAGATTTTCTCCAAAACTCCTCAGAAACTTGAACACATTCAATTCCAATAACGACACACCTCTCATATTTTACAGGTGAAACCTCCTCCTCTTAATTTCCAAAATTACGACCCAGTGTCTTCATCATGGATTGACCATGACAATTAAACTACAATCTAGGTTGAAGTTGCAGTCACTTTTAATTTCACTCGCTGGTGACATAATAGCGTTCAGATCTCACCGCTTTCAGGTCAGACATGGGCTCGGATTTTGACAAATCCTAACAGACTTAGTTGAAATATATTTAGAGATGATGTCAGTGGCAGACAGAAATTGAAAGCGACAAGAGCCTCGACCTACTTAAGATTTCAATAAGATTGGAATCCACAAAAAATAACGAGTCCCGTCACGGTGACCATGACGGACAATATATAACACTTTCTATAATAAAAATTATACGCATTTTTAGCACAATCAAAAGCGAAATTAATATAGCTCGTCCGAAAATATGATACAATTATAGAAGGTGATATTTCGTAATTGTTGTCTTGGTAGCACCATTTCAATTATGAGGCGCAACGTGAATACTTATAGAGCAAGAAAGAGGTACAGGTATCTCATTTGAAAACGTGTTAGTCAATTACGAGCATGATTCCAGCGTTGTTTAGTTACACGGAATTAGTTGTGAGGTTTTTCTGCAATCTACGCTTTCTGAATTTGCTTTGGTTTTATGTTATGGAACTGTGACGTACATCTTTCTGGTTACTGCACTGAATAATCAAATGACTGACCATTCGTATATATTTTTAAGAAGTTTGGACTTGCCTTAGCCTGTACTAACCGCTGTTTTCTACCGTGCTGAACGTAACTTTAATTCGCCACGGTGTTCACGCTGCACCAAGTACAGGCTAAGATTTATGTTTGCATATCAGCTTCAAATTCAGGCTTAAAATACACCCATAGCATTTTGCATTGAAATACATACATGTAATCAGTACTGTCATGAATTTGTTTTTGTGTATCTGTTGACCGACTTAATTAACTGATTATTAGCGAATTGCCGTGTTATGTCTGTCATCGTTTAGGTCTATTTGAAGTTTTGGACGGAACTTGGCTCAGTGATTTGGAACTAATTACCAGATAACCGCCGCTATTTGGACTACTCATTCTGACAGTTTATATTCATAGTTATTAATGTAGTGAACGATTAATCAAAAGATATGACGTATTCAGTACTTAGTGTGATTGGCTTTATGATTGAAGGTTACGCCCTAGAGTCTTTTTACTGTTTTGTAATTGGTTAGAGTTTTGAAAATGAATAAAGAAAGTTTTGAGTTGGTCTTTGGGAGCACAGCACGATAGACGCAGTCGAGTGCAGTCCTGGAGAGACTTGGAGCGAGCCTTGACTCAGTCTAAAAGAGTCTTGGGTCAGCCTTGCGATCGTCTTGGGGACTTTTCCTCAGGGCGCTGTGTCTTATAGAGTGCTCGACTGATCGACTAAGACGAGAGCTGAAACGTATTTCGTTGTGGGTGTCTTATTTGACTGTAAAGTATAAGTGACTTTCCCGATCCCGTACCTCAAGGGGACGCGATAGAGAAATGAGACGAGTTTCCCCCTGACACATGTGGAGAACCCAGAGGGAGAAGAATTTACCCCTGATACGTGGTGGAGAATCCGGGCATTGCGTCATACGCACATTGACATCCTGTGAAGAAAAGTGAAATGGCGAAGAGGTGTCTTTCTAGTGAACCGAACTAACCAGCTCCATGGCAGAGACGAAACCGCGCTCGACGACTAACACCGTTAACAGTATGGCACCGATGAACGACGCTGAAGAAATGAAGACTTCGAAGCCCCTTCGGAAGGACCAGTATCGTATAGGACTGTGTCACACGCACCGTAATATTACCGTA